GCTGAACGGTTCGTCTGATGAAGAAGAACATCAAGCCGCGAGGTGTTAATGTCATTTGCCACCACCACACCATCCTCCATAGAGGGAATAAGAGCTTCCAGAATCTGTGAAGTCTTACTTCCTGGCGCTGCGCACATGTCTAGCACACGGTGGCCTGGACGAACTTGCAGTAACACTGGAGGCAGCATACTTACTGTCTCTTGACGTGTGAGGTAACCACCCTCATTCATTGCAGCAATAACCTTCTTTAATTCCCTCAGTTCCACAGAACGTTTAAGGTCCCCACGAGAGATGGGACACTGCAGTGCGGCACCATCAGTAATAAAAGGGATGGTAGTTATTGGCAAAACACTACTCAGACGGGACTTCAGATACTCAAGAACGGCCTCTGCACTTGAAACGGATGGATGTACACGAAGAGCCACGGGTAGTGCACGGCGAAGGGCCTCCATGAACACTTCCCACTCCGCTTCTTCCACAACGTTCCCCTTGTAATAACTAATAAACGCATCGTTTGTCAAAGTGGAAAGATCACGCGCATCGGCCGCCCAATTGTCCTCCTTACGCCCCCGCTTACGACCACCCTTCCGAAATTGATTGCGACTCATAGACACTCTCACCCACACCGCCACCTCTTCCTTGTGATGTCTCCCCCACCCGCTCTTGCAACACCACCACGGCAGAAAAATACAACGTTTAGAAAAAAAAAAAAAAAAACGTGATTAAAGAAAAAGAAAAAAACAACAATAAGGAAAAATCAATGAGACATGCACAAGAGAAGAAAGGAGAAGGTAATAATCATATGAATACACATATATAAAGAAAGGGAACGTCACAAAACCCGCAGCGCTACGCACGCACACAAAAAAAAACAGAAAGAAAAAAAAGTCAGAATTTGAGTTCAATGAGACAAAAAGAAAAAAGGAAGAAAAAAAAAAAAAGAGGCAAAAAAAAAAAAAAAAAAAAAAGTTACCTAATGCAGTTCATGCAGAGTAATTCCGTCTCAGGCTCTTAATTTGCATGTGAATATGTGTACACCACACACGGGTATCTCACCCCTTACCACACAAAGTGCGGCAATTTTGCTGCCCTTCGTTTATAAACCGTCTATCACACTCACATCTTGCTCCACTCTCCATATGTATTTTATGTTGTTTTTTTTTTTTTTATTTGCTATTTTTCCTTTTTTCTTTTTGCAAAAAGTCGTCCCTCGTTTGATCTCAATTTTGCTAAATTTTTGCTTTTTTTCATTCTTGATTTTGTGCTCTGATGCCGTTGAGTACCTCCATATTTCCCTACTCCATGTCAAACATAACGTCGGACCTACTGTCATTTGACGCTGGTCTCATCTTCTCCTCCTTCACCGCCTGAGAAACAGCAGGGCGCGGTGCATTGTTGTTGCCGTTGTTGCAGTCAAGGGCCCCCGCAATGTTATGACCATCTTTACTTAGCATGTATGAAACAGTCGGCGTCGTGGAGAACTCCTTGAGGGAGATGCTTTTCTTCATGTCCCCTGCAAGGACTTTCTACTCGGGCAAACTACAATAACAACAACAAAAAAAAAAATCTTAGGGTTAAGAAAAAAAAGCTAAAGAGGATATGCAGAGGTCACAGTAAAGCGATATACGCACACGGCAAGTGCAGAAAAATGCCTCTATGCAAGCAAAAGAAAAAGAAAAAAGACAGAAAGAAAGAGGTCCAGCCACAATATATGTATATATATATATATATACTCAAAACCCCTCATTCTTCTGCGTAAAGCACGTGGCCCTCAATGCGCACCACACGTAGCGGACGGTTGGGCTCCCTCTCCTTTAATTCCTCCAACCTCTCGCCAGATTGACGTCTAGTGGGGGACTCCACAACGTCATAAGCGCACCTGGAATCGTCCCACACGACACAGTCATCTGAACAAATAGTCCCTCCTTTCGCAGCATGTTGGCGGATGGCTTCCATGATACGTTCATCCACACGTACGCTGTGCAACGGAGCTGCCCGTCCACAAATAGGACACGCCGCCGATGGCAACTCCTCGTCGCCACTAGAAACCCACCTCGGGTTTGCGGTTTCCTCCACAACTTCCCTCCGACGCATTACTGTCTGCTGAGTGGCGCGCACAAACGTCGCCATGTCAAAGACCTCCTTGTGCCGACACAACGAACCCCTGGCGGGAATCATTATGGCCCCTAACGAAATGGGATCTCGCAGCGGAAGACGCCAACGCACCGCCATTGGCACGCCGTCACTACTGGCATCGAGAACATCACGAGGTCGTTTGACCACTTCATGGTAGGTGCGAACGTTTTCCGGACGCCACCAGGTTGCTGATAAATCCCTCATAACTTCGGTAATCTTTTCTACATCCCACCGAAACGCGGGAACAGACTTTGTGAGATCATCCAGGCGCTGACGATATTTAACACGTCGCATCGTGGAAAATGCCTCTATCTCACCCATCGCATATGCAAAAAATGACGCCTCCTGAACAGGAGAAACTACACGAGTCAGCTCTGAGCGAAGCGACTCTACGTATTTGATAGCATCCTTCACCACAGAAGCATCTAAAACCGCCAATCGACGACAGAACGCGCCAAATAACACCGAGCACTGACATAAACCGTGTGTTGAGGGTGTTGGGCGCGCCGACTCATCCTTGAGAACCTTTAAAAGCCGACTATGTACATCCTCCACGGCGTTTGCGGTGTCCATGGAACGAATTTCACACAAGAAATCCCGGCCCAACATTCACATGTATATATATACACCTACTGCGGTGGGAAAGCCAAAAGCAGAAATAAATAAGTGAAACAAGAAAAGGCCATAATTGTCCATGAGAGTAACAAATAAAAAAAGTAGAGTGTATTTGCGATCACCCACAGCATCCCAAAAAAAGATATTCGCCTTTTTTTTGTCCGTGTTTGTGTTTGTGTGTGTGTGTGTGTATCCTCCTTCCAGTCCTTCTTCCCTCTTTGGGATTTCCACGCTTTGCACCCGGCGTGGCTTCACAACAAATTCGACAAAATGTTCCCCAACTGCTCATCAAACCGTGTTGTCGGCAGGGAAAGTTCAAAGGTCGCCAGCACCGCCTTCGCTGCTTTCGTCTCTTCACTTAACGAAAGGCATCGCTGACGTTTCTCACGCAAACTCGCCGTTTTTCCTGGGAAATCAAGAAACCGATGCGACAGACGCACCCGCCTGGCTGGGGCCTGCGCTGGAGACGGAACAACCAATTCTGACTTCCCGGCACCTTCCACCCCCAAAAACGGCGTCAATGATGGTGATGATGACGATATTAAGTGGCTGCTCTGAAGAGGAGCCTCCGTGGCTTTGGAGGCCTGCGGGCTGCCAAAAGAAGAGGTGAAAACGGTCGTAGCTTCTGGTGCTTTTTGTGGATTTGGCCTCACACTTGACGCCAATGTATTTTCTTTATTACCGTCGTTGCAACTGACATCCAATTCACTCGCCGCCGTCTCCTCTTCTTCCTTATCTTCTTCGGCCTCTTCCTCCTCTTCCTCCGTCCCCTCCTTCTCCTCTTCCTCCTCTTCCTCCGTCCCCTCCTTCTCCTCTTCCTCTTCTTCCTCCGTCCCCTCCTTCTCCTCTTCCTCTTCTTCCTCCGTCCCCTCCTTCTCCTCTTCCTCCTCTTCCTCCGTCCCCTCCTTCTCCTCTTCCTCCTCTTCCGCCGAGATCTCCTCCTCCTCCTCTCCGGTTTCTAAGCTTCGGGATAAAGATTCAGCGACTGCCTCCTCTTCCTCATTCTCCTCGTCCACGGCAAAATCATTATCATCTATAAAACTCATGCCAATAATCCCTACAAACAACCAGTGAGAGCAAAAGTGAAAAGCCAAACGCAGTAAAAATAATCCCACACACCAGAACTTTAAAAAGGTAAAAACAAAAGTATATAAGCGGTATTGCCATTGAGAGCAATCACCACAGATACAGCGTGCCTGACGGAGTTTATACATTAAATCAGCTACCATCGAAACACCAGCCTAACATATCCAGTTGAGTCCAAAAAAAAAAAAAAAAAAAATTGAAAATATTCAAAAACCAAACAGTTAAAGAGATCGTTCCTCACAGACTTTGTCTCTTCGATCGTCTATTCCCACAAGACTCGATTACGACAGCCTTTTTATATGCCTGCAAAAGTCTAATTATGCTAGCTATTATCTTTTAGTGGAATAAATGCATAGATGACACTTTGTCTTCCGTAGCTCTTTCGTCTGGTAACTCCATCCTGAGAAAAGAAGCCACATCGTGAAGAGTTGAAAAAATTCCACTTTAGCTTACCGTGTGTGCCGTCTTTGACAAGGACGCGGAAGAGAGGGCAAGATGTCTTCCATCTAAAGTGCCCTCGACACGCCACAAAACAAAGGGCACAATGAGAACAGGCAGATACATATATCCCAACAAGAAAAAATCAAGAGGAAATAATAAAAAAAAAATTGTTAAAATAATCTCCTTTTCCCCCTCTTTGCGGCTCCAATAAAACTTTTTCGTCTTTTTTTTTTATTCTCCTCATTCTTTTTTTTTTTTTTTTTATCGGTTTGTGTCTTTTTCTTTTGATTATTTTGGTTTTCCTTCCATTTGGCCGTCCCTTTTTGAATGAAACACCTGCCGTTCCCGCCCGACTTCTTCGCCCACAAAAAAACCCCACTGCTTTAATTGCTTCTTTTGCTTCTTGTATACATTTGGCTGCTTCTTGGTTTGTTTTCCACTATTTACTTCCTCGACGGCACCAGGTTCCACTCCCTTTCCCCCTCATTCATTCATTCCGCTTCTCTCTCTCCCCCTTGTGTATATTTCGATTGGAGAAAGCCATTTCCGTATTGAGAATGGACGTTGGGCAACGTTACAGCTTGGAGAGTTGCCCGATCAGGCGCTCACGAACCAGGCTGATGGCCTCCAGTTCACGACGAACTTCGGCTTCTTTGAAGGCACGCACATCATCCTGCAGGCCAACAGTGATTTCGCGCACTTGGCGCCAGAGCTGGCCGCGGAGATCCAACACACGACGAACCGAAGTTGCCACCTTGATAGGCACGAGAATATAGCTATTGTAACGCAACGCAATAATACAGTTCGTTGCACCAGCCATAGCCTCGTGCATGGCAAGTGTGGAAAGAGTGGCGCAGAAAAGAGCGTCATTTGCCGAGGGCGGACAGGCGCGAATCATGTATGAAGGGTCAATGTATTTCACCGTGCCATTAGGGTAACGCTCTTTATTTTTACGCAGCCATGCTTGAATCCTCTTCGTCAGGACAACGCCAATATCCGTAAGCTTCTTATTGCCCGAGGCATCATGACCACCAGTGCCCCCTTCCCAGTCCTGACCAAAGCCCTCCGCCACAATAATGACACAGCTGCGGGAGGTCTCAAATCGACGTTGGATAAGTGCCATTACGATATCCTCGGAAATAGGATTTTCAGGAACAAGACAAACATTTGCCTGGGCACTTGCCACAGCTGCTTCTGCTGCAATAAAGCCGCTGTCACGGCCCATGAGCTTCACGACGCCAACACCGTAGTTGAGAGAAATAGCTTCCGCATATGCAGCACGAACAGCCTCAACAGCCTTGTCTACTGCCGTCTCAAAACCAAAAGTGCGGTGTGAGAAACTGAGATCATTATCAATAGTCTTGGGAATACCGAAAACGGCAATGTTGACGCCCGCCTCTTGGCCTCTTCAGCAATCTTAAGAGCACCACGTTGTGTGCCATCACCACCAACAGTAAAGAGGATGTTAACACCAAGACGTTCCAGGGTGTCAACCATTTCACTGGTGTCTTGGGGACCGCGGCTGCTGCCTAAAATGGTTCCTCCGTAACGGTGAATGCTTGTGACAGATGTGCGGTAAAGCTCCATGGCGGTGTGACTTCCCTTCTTTGAGAGACCCCAGTAACCAAATCGGAAGCCAATGACGCGCTTCACGCGGTATGCGTTAACGGCAGTCAGAGTCAAGGAACGAATCACGTCATTCAAGCCGGGGCAAATACCTCCGCACGTGACAATGCCGACAACTGTTTCCGGTGGATTGAAATGAATACGCTGACGGGGTGCAGCAAGCTCACAAAGGAGAGGGCTTATGGAAACGGGAAGTTCCGAGTGTACCCCCTCCTGTGGACGGGGGTCGTGCATGATATGTTCAATCTTGTCGGAAAACTCCTCACGCATCACATGTTTTTTGCTGGGGTTCATGTACTTTCGGCCATGGAGACGCTCCACCTTTAGGTCCTCCTGGGTGACCTCGTTCAGCGGGGCCGCGTGAGAACGGACAACCCTGCTCGTGTCACGAAGGCGGTTTTCCATGATTTGATTACTTGACGTCGTTAATGTTTTTGTTGCTTTTATCTTGTTCTTTGCTCTGACCAAAGCGTTACAGGCGTAGGAAACCGTGAGAATCAAACGATGACGCAGCGAACACAAAAAGGAAGAGCCACAAAAAGAAAAAAGAAAAAAGAAAAAAGCCAACAAAAAAAAAAAAAAAAGAAGATGAGCGTTCAGCATCAAGTTTGAATACGGTCGCACCTCTTTTGAGGCCATCCCGCCTTCGTTGTTCTTGTTGTATCCTTCTATTCCATTCCTTCGTTTTCGTTCTTTTTTTTTGTTTCTTTTTTTGTCTGCGTGTCTTTTTCCAGTTTCTGCTGTTTTGTCCCTCTTTGGGTGTTACGCAGCCAACGACGGCAAAAAAACGGCCCAAGAGCAGAGTGGATAGAAAAGAAAAGGTTGAGAGAAATAAAGAACAAGAAAAATTTAAAAAAAAAAAAAAAAAAAAAAGGAAAAAAAGGAAAAAAGCAAAAAAATAAAAGAGAACTCTGATCCCCTCTGCTCACTACCCCTCCTGTCCAAATTCTTCGGTAAACTTGAGATGTTGCGTAATATCATCATCCGCAACAGAAGGACGGGCGGTGCGCAGTGCCTTGACAAAGTCCTGCATAGTTACTGGAAGCGGCATCAGCAACCCAGGCTCCGTAATCTCTTGCGCCGTCATCGCGAAGCCCTCCGGGTCGCCCGGTGAGCAGGGCACCAGACGGTTGTTGGTCATTCGCGTGGGATCCTTCAAATCTGGTCCTGTCACACGCTTGAAGTGAGTTGCCACCTGCACGGATCTAATGCACTCCATCATGGCGTTTCGCACAACAATATTGATATCGCTGCCGCTGTATTTATCCGTCATTCGCGCCAATTCGTACCAATCCTTCTCGGTTAGAGTGTGTGGAGTGTCTCCTATATGAATTTTAAACATCTGATACCGCGCCTGAACGTCTGGAAGCGGAATGTAAATACGACGCTCAAAACGGCGACGAACGG